GGTGTGGTGAGGGTGGGGGACAGTGTGGTGAGGGTGGGGGACAGTGGCGAGGGTGGAGGATGGTGGGGTGAGGGTGGGGGACGGTGTGGCGAGGGTGGAGGATGGTGTGGTGAGGGTGGGGGATGGTGTGGCGAGGGTGGGGATGGTGTGGCGAGGGTGGGGGACAGTGTGGCGAGGGTGGGGGACGATGTGGTGAGGTTGGAGGACGGTGTGGCGAGGGTTGTGGATGGTGGGGTGAGGGTGGGGATGGTGGGGTGAGGGTGGGGATGGTGTGGTGAGGGTGGGCAACAGTGTGGTGAGGGTGGGGCGGTGTGGCGAGCCTGGGGGACGGTGTGGTGAGGGTGGGGGACGATGGGGTGAGGGTGGGGATGGTGTGGTGAGGGTGGGGATGGTGTGGTGAGGGAGTGGGACAGTGTGGCGAGGGTGGGGACGGTGTGATGAGGGTGGGGGACGGTGTGGTGAGGGTGGGGACGGTGTGGCGAGGGTGTGGGACGGTGTGGCAAAGTTGGGGACAGTGTGGCGAGGGTGGGGGACGATGTGGTGAGGGTGGTGGGTGGTATGGTGAGGGTGGGGGGGCGATGTGGTGAGGGTGGAGACAGTGTGGTGAAGGTGCGGACTGCGGCAGGGCACCTGAAAAAGCTGGCAACACTAGGCACAAGATCAGTGTCTTCAAACCCGAGAGTTATTTAACACCCTCAGTGTGAACAATCTTACCCTTGAAAATAACAGCATTCAAATCAGCACAAATACTAATTGAAACCTTTTCTGTCTCTTCATTCACAGGACAATGGTTTAATTGTGTTAACAGATGCATCTCTTCCACGCAGAGAGCCATTCTGTAAGTGTGAACACTGTACATTTCAAAGATAACAGGTCTCATTTGGAAGAGTTCTCAAAGATGTCCAAGTGTGGCTATGTATTATTGTACCACTAAGGTAAAGTCACTCTGGTCCTGTCAGACTATAGGGCTGCTCTCTCGTTAGAGAGAGACAACTGGTGGTAGTTTAGCCTGAGGGTCACCACACCTCAGGCAAGGGGAGTGTTTAAGAAAATGAGTCTTTCATGGTAACCTCAGCTGGCGTGGGTATTGAACTCCCCCCTTGTTGGCATCACCCTGCATTACAGGCTAGCCAACTGAGCTAACTAGCCCCCCTGCAGCATGGCAATGAACAAAGAACATAGGTTGTGCAACATAGAACAGTGCAGCATAGGAACAGGCCTTTTGGTTCACCGAGCCTGAGCTGCCACATGACGCCTTTCTAAACCATAAACATTTTGCCTCTACACTGTCCATATCCCTCTATTCCCTGCCAACCCATATATCTGTCACCTCAGTGCCAAGTGGAGCACAAAAAGGGAGGAAGAACTCTGCTTTTAATCATATTCCAGTTACATCTTAATATGTTCTCTAACTCAAAATGGCGCCAGAGCCTGGTGACATTTTACGCTTTCCACTGTATTTATTTGTTAAATACAAGTGGCAATAAATCATTCCATTCAATTCTCTTTCTCTCTCCACAAATGCTGCCAGACCTGCTGAGTTTCACCATCAATTTATGTTTTTCATTCACATTTCCAGTGTCCATAGTTCTGTATTTTAACTTAGTTTCTTTCCTTTCCTGACTTACAATCAACAATCCCTTTGTCTGCCACCCCTTATATCTCCCTCTCTCTGGGCTCTGTCTCCACCTACCTGTTCACTCCTTCTAAGCTTCCTCTCACCCAAAATCACCACCTTTTCCGAGCTGCTATCGGTTCTGAGGAAGGGGCACAGGACTTAAAACATTAACTCTACTTTCTCTCCACAGATACTGCCAGACCTGCTGAGCTTCTCCAGCAATTTCTGTTTCTGTTTCATATTTCCAGAGTCCACAGTTTTATCTCATTGAATGGCAGAGCAGACTCAGTGGGCTGAATGGCCTACTTCTCCAAATCTCACGTCTTTAATGTTGAATTTTCTTTTTCATGACTTTTATTCTGAGACAACGCAAGAAGTCAGGGCGCAAGTTTACCCCAGCCTGAACCAGGACTGCAACAGTATCACATTGCCATGAATACCATCTCTCTGATGAGATGCTAAACTGTTTCCCCATCACCCCCCTCTCAGGCTGAAGATAAAAGACGTCTTTTGAAAATATCTTTTTTTATTTGAAGATGCCCTTTGATGTCATTTGAAAAGAGAAAGGAGAGTTCTCCCTAGTGGTAGAACCGATACTTATCACTTAACCTACATCGTTAGCAAAAACAGAACTTACCCATTTGCAAACTGGCAGCCACATTTCCAGAATTACAGAGCCTCAACTCTCATGTCCACATTGGCTGAGAGATGCTTTGGATTGTCCTGAGGTGGTGGAGGATTTGTTATAAATGCAAGTCTTTCCTTATTTCCATAGCGTTTTACTAGTGACATTCAGTTATAGTTTTAATTTATTTTTCTCATCAACCTGTTCAGTGATGTTATTATACACCTCTGGAGTAGGTGACACTTGAACCTGTGTCTCTCAGTCACCTTTTTTTTCAAGAGGCCCCTCCCTAGTGATGCTCAGTTAAAAATTTTTGTCTACTCAACTTGTTCAGAGATATCATTACACAACTGTGGGAATGGAACCCAGGCCACCTAGCTCATTGGTAGGGACGCTACCACAGCTCCACAAGAGCCCTTAGTGATGTCCAGATAAGGTTTTGTGTCAGATTAATGTTAGGTGCCAAGGCACAAACATCAGGGAAGTTTAACTGCTTGCATAAAGTGTCTTTTTGGTTAGACACTGCAGTTTGCAAATCAAATGATCCTCCTGTCAGTAGCTGAGTGTTAGTGTTCAATTCTGGTGATGGAGCAACAACACACAATCCCACCATTTATAGGTTTGATATCAGATTCTGACTTGAGTTTGCTGGGAGTGAGCTGAGATAAATGCCCCTGGCATAAATGGACGCATTTAGCATCAATGCATTCAAGAGGAAGCTAAGCAAATCAATGAAGGAGAAAAGGGTTGCAAGATATGCTGATAAGGTGAAGCGAAAAAGAGAAAGAATCACATTTATAAAGCATTTTTCACTGCCATCCCAAAGCATTTCACAGCCAGTACAGTGCTTCAGAAGTGTAGCCAGTCTTGCAATTCAGAAATGCTGCAGTCAATTTATGCATTGCAAGTTTGTGATTGGATTATCTGCTTTAATGATATTGCTGTCTGGGTTAGTATTGGTCCAGGGATAACTCCGCTGTCACGGGATCATTTACATTCACCAGAGAGGGGACATGAGAACTTGGAGTGGAATGGAAATGCATAAACCACTTATTTTGAGGCAAGAATGAGGCACAGCTGAAATGTGAAGACTGGCAGGAGAAGGTGCGTGTGGAGCACAAATAGTGACCTCACCCTGTTGCGCTAAATGGCCTGTTTGCTGTGTAGGTCTATGCAGTGTTTTGCCTCAAGGATATTCCACTAGTCACCCTTTGGAGAAATACCACAGGAATCCAAGGTGAAATAACTCCACTCACCCTGGTCCCTCAGAGCCAGCTCTCAGAGTGAACAGAACCTTTGACACTCCCCCTGTTTATCTCTGTCAGCCAGGACTCCCTGACTGGACCAGATTAACAGCCCCTATCAGGGAACTCATATTCCATGAGGTTCACCTGGCTGATCTCGTTATAATCACTATACAAGGCACATATTAAATTTGAAACTTCAGTCTGTTCCTTACATTGCCACTGGAACAAATCTTGCAAAGATATAAATAATGATTTCAAGTCCTTACAAAGACAGGCAAAATAATTACATCTGGGCCAATTTTGCATGGAGCAATTTTGTCCAGTTCGATTTATGCAACGATTGCATACAGAATCCAAATTTTTTCAGACTGTGAGACTTCACACCAATAATTACTTTTCCATTCATTTTATGTGCACAGGGTGAGAACTTTGCACTGGCCTTTCTGTATAGTGCTATCATAAATACACGACAATGTGTACAGAGATCTTTCCTAACCTTGTGGATTTGCTTTCACAGACATAACCTTCCGTGATGACAACATTGAGTTTAAAGTCACGAGCCATGTGGTTGAGCCAGAAGATCAGAGAATCAGAACATACTTTCCAGAGACGTGGATATGGTTGGATATGTTAACTGGGTAGGAATTCCAATTCATTAAACATGAGACCCTCAGTAGCTGGGTATCTGAGAGAAATGCTCGCATTTTCAATACTGGATACCTCACAGCAAACAAGGTGAAATTAAACCTTCCCTGTTCTTAGGCAGCTGCAGATAACAGGCTTTGATGTCGGGTTTGATGGGTTCTGACATGACTGAACAGTTAGCGCATGATCTGCAGACACTATCACATATGGGCCAGGTTGTGTTTGACGGTTTGTTAAGACATCTCGCTCACTAATGCCCTTTAGGGAAGGAAACTGCCATCCTTACCTTGTCTGGCCTACATGTGACTCCAGGCCCACAGCAAAGTGGTTGGCTATTAACTGCCCTCTGGGCAATTAAGGATGGGCAATAAATGCTGCCTAGCCAGCAACGCTCTCATCCTGTGAATGAATAACAAAAAAATAAGTAGAAGTAGGCCATTCAAACCATACTGTCTGCTCCGCCATGGAAGGTCTGAGCTATAAGGAGATGCTGGATAGGCTGCGACTTTTTTCCCTGGAGCATAGGAGGCTGAGGGGTGTCCTTATAGAGGTTTATAAAATCATGAGGGGCATGGATAGTGTGAATAGCCAAGGTCTCTTCCCCATGGCAGGGGAGTCCAAAACTAGAGCGCATAGGTTCAAGGTGAGAGGAGAAAGATTTAAAAGGGTCTTAAGGGGCAATATTTTCACGCAGAGGGCAGTGCTTGTATGGAATGAGCTGCCAGAGGAAGTTTAGAGGTGAGTATAATTACAATATTGAAAACACATTTGGACAAGTACATGGATAGGAAAGATTAAGAGGTATGTGGACCAAATGCAGGCAAATGGGAATAGATGAGTTTAGGAAATCTGGTTGGTGTGGATGAGTTGGGCTGAAGGGGACTGTTTCTGTGCAATATGACTGTATGACTGTATAATGTTGATATATTTGGTCTTGGCTAAAAGGGGAGTGGCATAGGTAGAAGTGGTAGTGTTCAGCAACATTTAGGCATGGAAAACATTGTGTCTAGAAATTCACCTCACAGATGCAATGTCAGATGTTCAAAGTCAAGATCATGAGAAGATTTCAAGTAAAGTATAGCGCTTATTCTCCAGAGTTCTGGTTTCCATATTATAGAAAGAATAGCGAAACACTGGGAAAAGTGTAGAAATGATTTACAAGGACGATACTGGGGCAGATTGGAAGGTTACATAAGCAAATGTACAGTGAATGCTGGAGATTTGAAATAAAACCAGAGAGTGTTGGAGAAACCCAGGTGGTATGTAAGTGCCTGTGGAGAGGGAAACAGAATTAACATTTTGAGCCCTACATGACTTCTTCAGAGCTGGGAAGTGAAGAGGAAAAGTGATGGGTTTTCTATTGCCAAGAAAGATGGGGAGTGGTAAAGGGAAGGTCAGTGGAAGGTCAGGAGAAGGTTAAGAGACCTAGGGAGATTTGTGTCACAGATACTAAAATAATAGCGAAATGCTGCGGATGTTGAAAATCTGCACAAAAACAAAAGTCAAACGTTTGATAAGGAACATGTAAAGAAAAATGTTTGGAATCCAAAACCTAGAGAACATGGATGTAAGACAGCCAGGGATAAACCCAATTGGGAACTCAAGGGAAACCTCTTTACAAAAGAGTGAGGTGTTGAGTTTGCTACTGCAGGGAGTGTTCCAGACAAGTATCCTTTAAGCAAACCCTCTGTGTGAAAAAGTTGCCCTATAGGTCCCTTTTAAATCTTTCCCCTCTCACTTTAAACCTATACCCTGTCGTTTTGGACTCCCCCACTCCAGGGAAAAGACCTTGTCTATTTCCCCTATCCATGTCTGTGATGATTTTATCAACCTCTATAAGGTCACCCCTCAGCCTCTGACACTCCAGGGAAAATAGCCCCAGTCTATTTAGCCTCTCCTTATAGCTCAAACCCTCCAACCCTGGCAACATCCTTTTCTGAGCCTTTTCAGGTTTCACAACATCCTTCCTATAGCAGGGAGACCAAAATTGTATGCAGTATTCCAATAGTGGCCCAACCAATGTCCTGTACAGCTGCTACATGACCTCCCAACTCCTATACTCAATGCACTGACCAATAAAGGCAAGTGTACCAATGCCTTCTTCAGCACCCTGTCTACCTGCAATTCTACTTTCTAGAACTATGAACCTGCACTACATAGTCTCTTTGTTCAACAAGGCTTCCTAGGACATTACCATTAAGTGTATAAGTCCTGCCCTGATTTGCCTTTCCAAAATGCAGCACCTCACATTTATCTAAATTAACCTCCATCTGCCACTCCTTGGCCCATTGGTCCATCTGATCAAGGTCCTGTTGTACTCTGAGGTAACCTTCTTTGCTGTCCACTATACCTCCAATTTTGATATCATCTGCAAACTTACCAACCATACCTCTTATGTTCACATCCAAATCATTTATATAAACCCATAGAGTCATACAGCATGGAAACAGACCCTTCTGTCCATTCAGTCCATGCTGACGATGTTCCCAAGCTAAACTAGACCCACCTGCCTGTGCTTAATCCATATCCCTCCAAATATTTCTTATTCATGTACTTATCTAAATGTCTTTTAAACATTGTAACTGTACTCACACCCACTATTTCCTCCGACAGTTCATTCCACACACGAACCACTCTCTCTGTAAAAAAATTGTCCCTCAAGTCCTTTTTAAATCTTTCTCCTCTCACCTTAAGAATATGCCCACTAGTTGTGAAAACCTCACCTAGGGAAAAGACACTGCAATTCACCTATCTATACCCATTGTGATATTATAACTCTCCAAAAGTTCACCCCTCAACCTCCTATGCTCCAGTGGAAAAATGTCCCAGCCTAACCAGCCTCTCCATATAACTCAAACTCTCGATTCTTGGCAACATCCTGGTAAATCTCTTCTGAACCTTCTCCTGTTTGATAATATCCTCCCATAACAGGGTGACCAGAACTGAACACAGTACTCCAAAAAAGGCCTCACCAATGTCCTATACAATCTCAACATGACGTCCCAACTCCTATACTCAAAGGTCTGAGCAATGAAGGCAAGCGTGCTAAATACCTTGTTAACCATCTTATCTGTATGTGATGCAAATTTCAAAGAATTATGTACTGAACCTGTTGGTATATCACCCTAGGTAGGTTTTAACAGCACTTTATGATTGTTCCTCTCATAGTTCTTTTCTTTTGGTTAGTTCAAGTTCAAATGTTAGCATCCAGAGAACAGTTCCAGACTCCCTCACCACCTGGATTGCCAACGCTTTTGTGATTTCTGAGAGCCGAGGACTTCAATTGGCCACTGGACCTGCCCAGGTAAGTCACCCCCAGCTTTCAGTCTTAGAATAAAGGAGCTGTTATTTGTGACTTTTGACAAGGTAAGATTTCCTCACCCAAATAGTTTTGAATTCCTAGAATTCTGTACCTCAGAGGGTTGTGGGTGCTCTGAGGTTGAATATATTCAAGGCTGGGATGAACTGGTTTTTGGTTGTAAGGGAATTCAGGGATATGGGGACTTGTCATGGAGTTGAAGCCCAAGATTAGCCTTGATTATATTGAATGGTGGAGCAGGGTTGACGGGCTGAATGGTCTACTCCTGCTCTTGTTTTGTATGATTTTGTGCTTTAGGAAAGGCCTTAAATAGCCTTAAGATCAATTATCTTGGTTCAAGACACCAGAGGAGACTTGTGCTCAAAACTTGGAGAGGGTACAGAAATGGTTTACCAGGATGTTGCCTGGTTTGGAGGGTATTAGCTATGAGGAGTGATTGTTTAGACTTGGTTTGTTTTCACTTGAGTGTCGAAGGATGAGGGGGCAACCTGATAGAAGTTTACACAATTATAAGAGGTACAGATGGATAGTCGGACCTTTCTTTCCTAGGGTAGCAATGTCACTTACTGGTGGACATAAATTCAAGGTAAAAGGGGGAAAGCTTAACGGAGAGTTTTTTTACAGAGAGGGTGGTAAGTGATAACAAGGTGTAGAGCTGGATGAACACAGCAGGCCAGGCAGCATCAGAGGAGCAGGAAAGCTGATGTTTCGGGCCTAGACCCTTCTTCAGAAATGGGGGAGGGGAAGGAGACTCTGAAATAAATAGAGAGAGGGGGAGACAATAATGGAAGGTGGATAGTGGAGCAGATAGGTGGAGCAGATAGATGGAGAGGAGACGGACAAGTCAAGGAGGCGGGGATGGAGCCAGTAAAGGTGAGTGTAGGTAGGAAGTAGGGATCGGGATTGGTGAGTGAGGTGGGAGGAGCGGATAGGTGGGAGCAAAGACAGACAGGTCAAGAAGGCGGGGACGAGTTGTGCTGGTCTTGGGATGAGGTCAAGGGCGTGGAAATTTTGAAGCTTGTGAAGTCCACATTGAGACCATTAGGCTTGGCATGCGTTGCCAGAGGAGATGGTGGAAGCAGAGGCATCTTAACAGTAATATGAATTGGCAGGGAATAGAGGGATGTGGACCACATAGAGGCAAAACATTTTTTGTTTTGAAAGGCATCATGTGTTGGCACAGTATTGGTAGGCCAAAGGGCCTGTCCCTGTGCGGCACTGTTATTTGTTCTTTGTTCTAACTATGTATGAATAAGAAAAGACTGGATTTGGATCTAGTTATCTCTTGTCAGTGCTGGATGCTGTGGTAGATGTTTTAAGTCTCTCCATTGCATTTGAGAGTGACCACTGAAGTGGTTCCGGAGAAAATGCCCCTCCACTGGCACTACCTCGAGATGACTCGGAAAGGTTTAAGCATTGGCCTTATTAGTATCTCCTGTACTCCCAAAAATGATACATAAAACATTATTCTATCAAACTTGCTACTTACACATACTCAGCACAATCTGGGCGACAGGGTGAGTTTCCACACCTATATACCAGAGGTAAATCTTCATCATAAGAGATGACAGGGAAAGCATTAGGAAAGAAAGGCTTAGGGCAGGCAGCGGAGTACTGTTGTGTCATTGATTTAGCAATCTAGAGACTCTAACCAATGTTCTGGGGATATAGGTTCAAATCACACCATGCAGTTAATCAAAAATAAATTCAATTAAACCCCAGAATTAAAAAACTAGCCTAATGGTGAACATATAACCATCATTGAAAAACCCTTCTGCTTCACCAGGGCCTTTTATAGAAGGAAATTTGTCGTTGGATCTCAGATGCCAGGCCCCAGGTCCACCACAATGTGATTGACTCTCAAAAGCCCTCTGGTCCTGCAAGCTAAAGGCAATGAGGGAATAAATGCTGGCAATGATCACAAGAGATAGCAGTATTAAAATCAACCGTCTTTTTGTGTTTGAGTAACTCTTTAATTGGCTTTTAATTCTTTCACATGGTGTAGGTATCAGAAGCGAAGCCAGTATTTGTTACCCATCCCTAATTTTTGCCTTCTGAAATAACTCCACAGAGGCTGGTATTCCATCACCAAGTCACCCTTTATTTACGTGTACATAGTACATGGAGGGGGGTGGCACCGTAGCTCAGTGGTTAGCACTGCTGCCTCACAGCACCAGGGACCCGGGTTTGATTCCAGCCTTGTGTGACTGTCTGTGTGGAGTTTGCACATTCTCCCCGAGTCTGGGTGGGTTTCCTCTGGGTGCTCCAGTTCCCTCCCACAGTCCAAAGATGTGCAGGTTAGGTGGATTGGCCTTGCTAAATTGCCTGTAGTGTTCACAGATGTGTAGGTTGGGTGTATTAGCCATGGGAAGTAGGGGGATGGGTCTGGGTGGGATGCTCTTTGGAGGATCAGTGTGGATCTGTTGGGCCAAATGGCCTGTTTCCACACTGTAGGGATTCTATGGCTGTGACCAGCTAGCTCAAAAGCCAGTCCCTAGAATGAGGAGACCTCGTAGTTTAATGTCTTATTTTGTTGTGCAGAAGTGACAGAAATAGAGAAGCAATTAAAAGAAAAACTGTTCTGTATCCAAAATGCAAAAATACAGATGAATCAAGTCTAAATATAAACCTGTCCAGAGAACAACATGAGCCCTCAATTAAAGAACTGATCAATGATTTCCTCACACATCTGTCTCGCTGCCTGTAGTGACAGATCCAGGACTAGTGACTATTGTGGACCATGATCTTTCTCATCTTCTGTGGATTGAAGCTCTTTTTATATCTGTCAGCCAGGGTTCCCTGATTGGTTCAGGTTAACAGCACCAATCAAGGATCACATCCTCCTGGCCCTGGTTCCAATCACTACACCTTCTGTAAGGGCATTCATGAACCAGGTGGGTTTTTACAACTAGCTTTATAGCTCCAGATTTCTTGCCACGGTGAGACTTGAACCTCTGCCCCCAAAGTATTAGCCTCATTCTTGGGATTCCTATCCCAGGACACTGTGTCACTACATCCCCTTTAATGACAGAGCTTTCTGGAGCGAAGTTAGGAAACACTTCAAAGGGTGGTCAAGCATTAGTAGCAATTGATCTGAGATGAGTTGTTAATTTTAATTCTGATCTTGTGAGATTTTTGTCAAGCTTGGTATAGAGCGAGGAGGAAAGGACTGGAATATGGAGCTTTGTCACGGGACAGTCATGATCTCCATGAATAGCATATTAGAAGGACTATGACAAGAGTCGAGAAGGACTATTTTCCTGTCTTTAATTTCTCGTTTAAAGCAGGATGTGAAATTCAAACATAACCACAAGATGGCTCTACAGAAAAGGGTATTAAGGACATTGTTACTTCCTAAAGCATTGCTATGGAAGTTGTCACATTCAGTTTATTTTATTCCACCTCCAGACTTTAATTTCCTTCCCAAACAAAAAGTAACAAAATTAATCACAGTATCCTGGCTGTTGTTTCCTCTCCACCTATCCTCTCCTCTATCCCTCTTCTATCCGCCTCCCACTCTCTCCCTATTTATTTCAAAACCCCCTTCCCCTCCCCCTTTTCTGATGAAGGGTCTAGGCCCGAAACGTCAGCCTCTCTGCTCCTATGATGCTGCTTGGCCTGCTGTGTTCATCCAGCCCTGCACCTTGTTGTCTCGGATTCTCCAGCATCTGCAGTTCCTACTATCTCTGATCCTGGCTGTTCACGTCTTTTAAGACTGGGGCCAGAAAGGGAGTTATTTCTCATAATTCTTGTTCTTTACTTTCAAATGGCTCCTTGGTTTTATTCGGTAACATGTTGTGATCTTGCCCTGCCTTATATTGATAGTGGACATTGTGGTGGTCAAACAAACAAAGCTGTATTAGGACACTATTTAAATGGGCCAACACTCACTGCAACGCACCAGAACTATGCAGGGAAGATGAAGAGCACCTGTACAAAATCTTCGGTATAAATGAATATTCCCACAACTTCATCCGCAGGTGCCTACTAAATAGACAACAAGAGGACACAGTACGCCCTAACACACTGACCACACTGCCCTACATCAAGAACAGATCAGAACTGACAATGAAATCCGACGACCACTAGGAATCATGATGACACACAAGCTCACTGCCACTCTATGACAAATATGCACAAGGATTAAAGACCCCCATCCCACAACGCGCAGAACCAACATAGTTTACAAAATACCATGCAATGACTGCCACAAGCATTACATCGGACAGACAAGAAGGAAACTAGCCATTAGTATACATAAACATCAGCTAGCAGCAAAACGGCATGACAAACTCTCCTTAATACCAGCACACTCAGACAATGGAAGTCATCAGTTTAACTGGGACAACATAACTATAGTAGCCCAAGCCAAACATAGATACACAAGGGAATTCCTAGAGGCATGGTTCTTAACCCATAACGCAATCAACAAACTCATGGAGTTGGACCCCAAATACAAACCCATACAGGACAAAACCGGAAATAATGCTACTCACCATGACGGACTGGACAGTATAAATTCCATGCGGAGTAGACAACATCGCATCCGTGGAGGTCTCACTGATGATGTTACCTAACATGGTGATGAAGTGTCCGAACAAAAACAAGCCAGCTGGGCGAGCAAGTCAACAACCTCAAACTTACCTGATCAATACTGGCCCTCTTAATTGCTGAAGACTTCATGTAGATATCCTTCCCCACTGCAATTAATGACTTAAATTAATCCCAATAAGCAGAATGGGTGCCAATGATTCTGCCCAAGGCATCCAGATGGTACTGGTGGACCCAACCACAATATATAGACAGCTTGGTGCTTGGTATGCCTGGTGCTGCTCCTGGCATGCCCTCCTGCACTCTTCATTGAGCCAGGGTTGATGCCCTGGTTTGATGGTCACGGTTAAGTAGGGGATATGCCAGGCCATGAGGTTACAGATTGTGCTGGAGCACACTTCTGCTGCTGTTGCTGGTGCACAGTGTTTCATGGATGCTCAGTGTTCAGTTGCTCAATCTGTTCAATCTGCCCTATTTAGTATGGTGATAGTGCCAGACAACACGATGGAGGATATTCTCAATGGGAAGAGCACAAGGTGTGGTGGGCGCTCTTACTGATACTAAGAGCTTGGGAACATAGGAACAGGAGTAGTCCATTCAGCCCCTCAAACCTGTTCCACCATTCAATAAGATATAGGCTGATCTGCAGCCTACTACCGTATCCCTGTCTTTGGCCCATTTCCCTTAATACCTTTGTTTAACAAAATTTTATCCATCTCAGATTTAAAAGTTAATAGCTGATCTAGCATCCATTGCTGTTTAGGGAAGAGAGGTCCAAACCACTGTCATCCTCATGTGTACAGAAGTGCTTCCTGACATCTCCCTTGAATGGTCTGATTCTCAGACTATGCCCCTGGTTCTAGAATCCCCCAATCGGTATAAATAGTTTATCTTTATCTACCCTGTCTTTTCCCGTTAAGATCTTGAAGACTTTGATTATATCACCCCTTAATCTTCTAAATTCTAAAGAAGGCAGGCCTAGTTCATATAATCTCTTCTGAATACTTAACCCCTGAAGTCCAGATATCATTCCTGTAAACCTATGTTGTCCTCCCTCCAAAGCCAATGTATCCTTTCTAAGGTATGGTGCCCAAATCTGCTCCCAGTACTACATATAGGATCTAACCAGGGTTTTGTATAACTGTCGCATAACATCTGCATATTTGTGCTTCAGTCCTCTAGAAAAAAAAGGCCAGCATTCCATTAGCTTTCTAGATTATTTTCTGCATTTTTTTGCGATGTTTCAGAGATCTATACACCTGAACTCACAAGTCTGTTTGGACTTCCACTGTATTTAACTTCATATCATCTAGAAAGTACCCTGATCTATTCTTTCTCACTCTAAAATAGATGACCTTACACTTACTTACGTTGAACTCCAACTGCTGCAGTTTTGCCATTTCACTTAATCTATCAATATCCCTTTGTAATTTTATGCTATAATCTACCCTGTCTACAATGGTGCCTAGCTTTGTGTCATCAGTAAATTTGGATATAAGACTTTCCATGCCATTATCCAAGTCATTAATAAATAATGTGAATAATTGAGGCCCTAACACAGATCCTTATGGGACACCGCTAGTCACATCTTGCCAATTTGAGTACCTACTCATTATCTCTACTTTGTCACCTGCCACAAAACCAATTTCCAAATTTACTGTCATGGACCAATGCATCTGCAGCAGACAGATAGGTGAGGATGAGGTCAAGTATGTTTTGCCCTTTTGTTGGTTCTGTTATCACTTGTTGCAGACCCAGTCTGGTAGCTATGTCCTTTAGGACTCAACCAGTTCAATCCATTTATTTTAAAACACCTTAGGACAGCCTGAAGGTATTATATTCAAGTTATATAAAAGTATTTATATTTAATGTCCTCTTGTTCTAAGTCAGTACCATTATATCTGTCTCTGCTAACAGAGGGAGACCATGGGGCATTTCCATTCATTAAGTAACACATTGAAACTAAACACATGTAAGGCTCACTCAATTACTTGAGTTTGTCAGATGGGTTTATCACCAGTTCTGTGATCTGTGTTCCTGTGTCCATGCTAACACCATTTTGTTCTGTTTAACAGCTGGAAGTATTCAAATCTTTCTTCCTGGAACTAAACCTTCCATACTCTGTAACCAGAGGTGAACAACTCATTTTGGAAATAAACATTTTCAACTACCTGCGACAGACGCTGGAGGTAATCCCTCTCCTGCAGTTTCAATCTCTTACATGAATATTTTGTAGTTGGGATGAAACATTAATGCATTCCTGTGTCGTACCTATTAAGTAATGGCATTTTCTGAATACTTTGGGATCATTTCATCCTGACATAGCATTAGGTTAGCGAGCCTTAAGACTGTGCTTCAATTCACTAGAAAGCTCAGATTGTAACCACTAGTATGAGGATTTAGAGAGCAGAAGATTGAAGGGTCGAAGTTGGTAACCATTTCAATCTGATAAACATTACAGCCGATATAATTATATTTTGTTCCAATGGCTCCTCTTAAGGGTTATTTTTGTGATTTTTGGGCCATACTTTGTGGCTTGCAGAGTCCAGTTTTCAATTCTCATTTATTTATTAGGTGAGGCGGTCACTGAGTAATACTGCCTTCTCTATATATGTTGACATAAAATCACACAGAGGTAGAGATAGAAGGTTTCATCAAATGCTCAATAGTTATGGACCTCATTATACTTGAAGCCACAACACAGAAGGGATGGTCAATGTTCCTAGATATCACAGTATATAAATTGGCACACAGCGACAGGCATAAGTAAGCAACAAACAGTTTTCAAAATGATTAAATTATACATCTACTAAAAGCCATCACTTTAATAACACCTTCCACAGACTCATGAGGTCATAGCCAATGTGTTTCCATCATACATGACCAAACCTGGAACATTTTAATCAGGCAGTTGCTATTTACTGAATCTCAGATCTCGCTTCCTCAGATTTAAATTTAGCAATCAACACAGTCTTCATTATAACAGCATCTGTGACATTTTCACTCGTATAGCACCTAAACATATCCTCTCTACCTCCTGGTATCAGCAAGCAGATGGCTCCTAGCCCTAGCTCCTTACCTTGGCCCCTGGCTTCCATCACCCGCACTTAGAATCTGTCCCTGCAGTGTGGAAGCAGGCCATTCAGCCCATAGAGTCCACACTAACCATCTGAAGAACATCCACACTGACCGATACCCCTACCTTATCCCTGTAAACCTGCATGTCCCATGGCCAATCCACCCTAACCTGCACATCTTTGGACTGTGGGAGGAAACCAGGGCACCAGGAGGGAACCCATGCAGACATGGGGAGAATGTGTAAACTCCACACAGACAGTCGCCCCTGAGGCTGGAATCGAACCCAGGTCCCTGACGCTGTGAAGTAGCCGTGCTACCACTGAGCCACCAGGCCACTCTTGAATCCCTAATCCAGGTTCCCTGCTCCCAAATCTCATCTCCAGCAACTTCTGGATTTTGCTGTGCCTCCTTCGCTCTCTCTTGTCCCTGGTTCCTGGATCTCAACTCTCAGGCTCGATCCTGACCTCTATGACCACTATTGTCCCCCACTGCCCCTGGATCCCAGACACTGATCCTCAGTCCCCAGCTCCCAGCCCACAGCTCCCACTCTCCAAGACCCATTTCCCTTTGAGAATAACATGAGTTATTTTGGAGGGGAGGCTGGGTAAATAAGTTATGAGTTAAATAATGCTTACAGAAATAATGTCTCATTCTAAATATGAGTGTTTCAATTGTCCCTTGGAACAGAGGGGAGGTGGTGGCCTAGTGGTATTATTGCTAGACCATTATTGTAGAGACCCCGGTCTTGTTCTAGGGACTTGGGTTTAAATCCCGCCACAGCAGATGGGTGGAATTTGAATTCAATAATAATCTGGAAATAAGAGTTTAATGATGACCATGGAAAAACCCACCTGATTCACCAGTGTTATTTAGGAATTCCAGACACACAGCAATATGGTTGACTCTTAACTGTCCTCTGGGCAATTAAGGATGGGTAATAAATGTTGGCCTAGCCAGTGATGCCCACATCCCATGAATGAATAATTAAACAAAAGCCATGAGCATTTTAATAAAGTGGTTGAGCCATTAATTGTATGTGTTTTTCTAAAGACCTGTCACAGAGAGAGAGAGAGAGAGAGAGAGAACTAACAGGGCTAGTAACTCATGTTGCAGATGGCTAGATACTAACGCCGTCTATATTTTTTAATGTACAGGTTTGGGTGACAGTGGAACCAAGTGATTTGTTTGATTTCATCATCATCCCAGACGAAAAGGACGCTGTCCCCAATAAACTGAAAGGCTCTGTGTTGAGTCAAGATTCCCACGTGTTTTATTTCCCCATCAAGATGAAGGGCCCTGGGAAGACTCCTATCACAGTTAAAGCCACGTCTGAAGTCGCATTCGATGCTGTTACCAAATACGTTTTAGTAAAGGTACTGTTTTGGTTTGACAGATTCCAATTCCCTTGTTCCTTTTTGAAGTAAACGCGGCAGATTCAGAAAGAGTAGAAATAGGAACAGGAGTCGGTCGAACATCCCCTCAAGCCTTCTCCACCATTCAATAAGATCATTATACACCTTTCACACTTGCCTATGTGTTATAGTTTGAAAGTGGATTCGGTGGAATGTAACAAAAATAACTCTACAGATTAAATGATCCAAATTAATGTGTTTATTAGCAGTTACATACATATTAATTAATATTAATCAGTAAATATATTTATGTATATATGGCAGTCAATGCATACTAAGCAGTATATAAATAGCAGTATATATGCATATACCAGTAAATATAAATATTAGACAGTAAATATATATATTAACCATGTATAAACTACCTTAGATATATTAGAAACAGAAACTAACTAATGAGTGGACCTATAGCTTAAACTACTTTTGACATGCTCAGCATGTCTAACAGTGATCCTCACTGCCTTCTGCCCATGGGGGACCCCACTTTATGATGGCTGGCCTGGAGAACTCGGGTTTCCTGGCACTGGCCGTGATCTCACTCCAAGGTGGAGTCCAACGAGTGCTGGAATACTGTCCAGTTATGTGCTGTATCACCATTTCACTGTACGTTCAGTACTATCCTAGGGTATTCCATTGTGCAGATAATAAGTTGAAAACGTCATCCAGGTCGCCTTGTGTCAATAAGATAAAATTATGGTTCCCACAAACAAGCAAGGTTACCCAACAACCAAGATAAGCTCCTTTCGTACTGGGCCAGTAATTTTCCACTTGTATCCAACTGCTCATTGTCATGTCCGATTAACCCTTAATGATTATCCCTTAATGGTCTGGTTTGAAGATATCATTTTAAATCCTACCACTGCACAACCCGTGGCACAGATGCAAATCTTTAATGGTGTCAGGTCAAGTCGAGAAAGTTATTAAAAGGCACTTGATAAGGACTTGATAAGGAGCATAATGCCAATACAATGCCAAATGAGTTGCGCTGAGCTGTTCTCAAATGATTGGTTAGCGTCCAGCTGGAGCGTTATGTCCAATAGTGGGCACCAAGGTTTGGGAAGGATTCAAGGACTTGGAGCGGGTGCTGGGAAATTTACTAGAAATGTGCAAAATGACAAACAAGGACAGGACAAATAAAATTAATGATAGGGCCCTGAGTAGTGATGTAGGACAGAGAGACCTAGGGGTTCAGGTATTTAGTTCTTTGAAAGTTGCATCACAGGTGGACAGGATGGTTAAGAAGGCATTTAGCATACTTGCCTTCATTGCTCAGACTTTTGAGTATAGGAGTTGGGAAATCATGTTGAAGTTGTATGGACATCGGTGTGGCCTCTTGTGGAGTACTGCGTACAGTTCTGGTCGCTCTGCTATAGAAAGGATATTATTAAACTGGAGAGAGTTCAGAAGCGATTTATCAGGATGTTGCTGTGAATGGAGGGTTTAAGATATAAAAATAGGCTTGATAGGCTGGGACATTTTTTACGAGAGAATAGGAGGTTGAGGGGTGACTTTATTGAGGTTTATAAAATCATGAGGGGCATAGATAAAGTGAGTGACATGGGTCTTTTCCTGAGGGTGGGGGAGTTCAAAACTAGGGGGCATATTTTTAATGAGAGGAGAAAGTTTTAAAAAGGACATGAGGGACAACTTTTTTACACAGAAAGTGGTTCATGCATGGAATAACCTCCCAGAGGAAGTGATGATGTGGGTACAGTTACAATGTTTAAAAGACATTTCAGTGAGATTGTAAATAGGAAAGGCTTGGAGGGATATGGGCCAAGCGCAAGCAGGTGGGACTAATTTACTGTAGAAAAATGGTTGGCATGGACTGGTTGGACCGAAGGGTCTGTTTCCATGCTGTATGATGCTATGATGGGTGAACAGTGTCTAAGTGGTTAGCACTGCTGTCTCACAGCGCAGGATCCCAGGTTTGATTCCACACTCAGGCGACTGTCTGTGTGGAGTTTGCACATTCTCCCCGTGTCTGCGTGGGTTTCCTTCGGGTGCTCCAGTTTCCTCCCACAGTCCAAAGATGTGCTGATTAGGTGGATTGGCCGTGCTAAATTGCCCCATTGTTTTCAGGGATGTGGAAGTTATATGGATTAGTCATAGGAAATGCAGAGTTATGGGGATAGGTTGGGGCCTGGGTCGGATGCTCTTAGGAGGAACAGTGTGGACTCAGTAGGCCAAATGGCCTCTTTCTACACTATACCAATTTAATGATGAGGGACTTGAAGCTCAGAGAGACTGGAGAAGTCAAGTGCTTCTTAGAGCAGAGAAGCATATGAGATTATAAAATCCAGATCCTGCCAAATATGATGGAATTTGAAGACTAAATAAAATGAAAGTTAAATACATAACCTTTAACCTTTAAATGGAGCAACCGTAAATTTGTCTTCCTCAATGTTAAAGTGAAACAATATCTGATGGGCAGGAGGTGGGAATGGGGTAGCCTGAGAGCACAGCTAGGACAGAATTGACAATGAAGCTCAGGAGAGATGAGAATGCATTTTTGAAAACAGCAAATTATGATCTGGAATCTACACTGCAGTTGTAATTTAAATTAATCTTGCTGAAAAAATGACATTCCTCTTCTACACATCAGGACTGACACAAGAACGCCAAATTTCAAAGGGAGCAATAATTTACTTTGCAAATGAATAGGGTGCTGATTGGTTGGCTCATCAACACTGATTAGTTAGTGTATTGCTGTGGAGAAAGCTCTAGGGAACTATTGAACCCAATGCTTTGATTTAATGCAAAAAAAAGTCACAATATCTGAACATGTTCCTTTTATTCTTGTAGAGGACAGGCCCCTGCATGTGACTGTATGAAGCTTACAGTAAGTGTACTTGAGCCACATTGATCAACCTAGATTGCTTATAAGTGGAATTATTTGTGCAGCCGGGATTGTTCAATAAGTGCTGTCCAATTGCAGAATTACGATGCAATTTTTTTTCCCTTTATTCTTAATGGGATGAGGGCATCGTTGGCTCGGCAGCATTTATTGCCCATCCCTAATTTCCCAGAGGGCAGTTAGGAGCCACATGGAGGCCAGACCAGGTAAGGATGTCAGTTTCCTTCCCTAAAGGACATTAGTGAACCAGATGGGGTTTTCCAACAATCGACAATGGATTTATTGTCATCGTTAGACTCTTAATTCCAGATATTTTATTGATTTCATATTCCACTGTCTGCCATGGCAGGATTTGAACTTGGGTCCCCAGAACATTATCTGGGTCAACAGTCCAGCCATAATACCACCAGGGCTAATCCTTTAACCCAGACTCTTTCAAAGCGAACCTTTTATTGCTGCTGTGGAACTCAAGTGTAGGAGCCAAAACTTGGATTGTTGGAGATCCTTGAAGGGGATAGATCACAGGGAGAAAGAAACAGAAGGATGTATTGACTGGGGAGATGAGAAAGGAAGCCAAGAGTTACAGCCTGGAGGAAATGGTGTTTTTCTTTGCTGGAGATGTTGTGGAAAATGGCAAGAGATAAAAATAGAGAGAAATCAGGAATTGTGTTGAATGGCAAACAACTCGAGGTTTGAAAGGGAAGCCAAAGGTAGGATGAAGTTCCACGCTTTTGATGGATTGCAAAAGGCCATAAAACAAGTCTCTCCTGTCGACTTTATGTTCTGTTCTCTTTGGAATCTATTACACCTCCAAGAGGTTGGACAAGACCTCTGTTTGATGTTACCTGAAAGATAATACCTTTGGCAATTTTTTTCTTCAGTCTTTCATGGGATATGAGCACGTTTTGCAAAGTCAGCATTATTGCCTGTACCTATTTCCCCCTGAATTAGGTTATTTTAAAGGGCTGTTAACATTGCAGTGTGTTTGGAGTGGCCAGACCAGGTAAGGGTGGCAGATCTCTCTCCTGAAAAGACATTCATGAACTGGATGGGCTTTTAAGTTTTGTGTGACTTTTAATTCCAGACTTTAAAAGTGAATTTAAGAATCTACCAGCTCCTATGGTGGGATTTGAACACATCACCCCAGAGCATTAGTTTGTGAGCCTTGTGACATTGCCAGTGTGCCACCACCTCTCTGGTGTAGCACCAACTCCCCCAAGTATGTCACTGGGGCATTAACTCAAGTCTCAACAGGGCTACATGAGCCCCTCACCTTTTGAGTCAGAGGCGCCGGTGCTGGACTGGGGTGGACAAAGTCAGTTTTGAATTGCCTGTTACTTTGGTCAGACACTTGGTATGCAACTCTTATACCTTTCATGTTATTCCAGTCATTTACTTTGTCTCCAGCACCACCCTATTTTACTTTTATTGTAATTGTCTCTCTGCCTCACTTCATTGGATTACAGGTTATCCCTTCAGTGGTTACTCAGCTGTTGACACTTTACCCACCGTCTAACACTCTTGGTCACCTGCAGAGACTGATTACCAAACACTCCACTCACACCAGTTGTATGATCTTTTGATCTTTCTGCCCTTGATCTCTTTGCCTATAAACTCTGCGTCTGTGTGCTCTCTCTCTCACTGCACCTGATGAAGGTGCTATCTCTGAAAGCTTGTGTGACTTCAAATAAACCTGTTGAACTATAACCTGATGTCGTTTGACTTCTGACTTCTGACTCAAAGACCGGAGAGCCATCAATTGAATCATGGCTGACCCTGAGCAATCCTCAGCTCATTGGAGGAAGCTGAATATAAAATTTCGACTTGGATTTCATGATTCCTGCCATTAATGCTTTTGGATTTGACTTTCCTTGGCTACATACTTGGATTATTTGGATCGTGTCAAATCCATTGCAGATCCTTCCTGCCATGTTTACCTAAAAAAGGGACAATAATAGGGAGATTGAATTGAACCAAATTTTACAAATGTGTTGCAGATGTTGTGTGGCACAAATCTCCGGTTAAGTTGGCTGAGTTACAGATAATACAGACATAAACCTATTGTTTAACTTGAAGAATGAGCTCTGGCCTAGGTTTAAGCCAATAAGTAGCTTCAAGTGAGTTTAGAGATCAGGGCTAATCCTTTAACCCAGACTCTTTCAAAGCAAACCTTTTATTGCTGCTGTGGAACTCAAGTGTAGGAGCCAAAACTTGGATTGTTGGAGATCCTTGAAGGGGAAAGATCTCAGGGAGAAAGAAACAGAAGGATGTATTGACTGGGGAGATGAGAAAG